CAGCAATAATACAATAATAATAATACAAGGGGGGAGGGTGCTTAGTCTTACTGCAAAAACAAAAACAACATCCACCAGCTTCCTGATTCCCCTTGCCTGTCATGTTCCCTTTTCCACACATTCCCTCTGAATGCTCAAGGTCAAACAGGACCTAAGGCTAGAAATATGGTGATGGGTAAAGGCAAGAACTCTGGGGTTGCCCTCCCTAGACTCAAATCCCATGGTGTCAGCACTTACCTTTGACCAATATCATTAGGTTCTTTATTTGCTACCTGGGAATGTCTCTCTCCAGCAGGTTTTAGAAGAATGATACAAAACTACACAGGAAAATAACAAAGCACAGAATTTGAAGCATTAGATGTCACAGAGCTGACACAGATGTCACCCAAGGATCACTTCATGTTTGACTCTATCAAGATATAAAATGATGCATCAGATCTTCCTGTTTTTAAGGCTCTAAATTGGAATCTAGCCCCATGGGTATGTGAACACTCAACAACCAAGAAAAATCAAATTCCAATGACTTTAGGGGTTGTGTATAATAGTCTATTTAGTAATCAATCCATCATGATCATGTAAAACAAAGAATCTGGGGTGCAATGTATGAGGTAATTGAACCAATAAAATAGAAAATATAAATTAAGTAAAGTCATGTCTAGGCTGGCTCATTGTTTTCAAGGAAAGATTTGGAAAGACATTTTAAATTTGATGTTAGAAAAATGAGAAGTCAGGACTGGAGAGATGGCTCAGCAGTTAAAAGTACATACTGCTCCAAAAAGCCATTTCATGCACCCGAGATAAGTCCTGGTCCCACTGCCAGGGGTCCCTCAAACAGATCTATCCACATAACTGTCACCCACATCCTGAGGGCCTAGTTTGGCCCCATGCATGTTTCCCTGCTGACAGGCCAGAGTCCATGAGCTCCCACCAGCTTGCGTCAGCTGTCTCTGTGGTTTTCCCCATCATGATCTTGACCTCACTTGCTCCTGTGATCCCTCCTCCATCTCTTCAACTGAAATCTAGGAGCTCAGCCCAGTGTTTGGTTATGGATCATTGCATCTGCTTCCATCAGTTACTGGATGTTCTATGATGACAATTAGGGTAGTCACTAATCTGATTATAGGGGAAGTTAAGTTCAGGCACCTCTCCATTATTGCTAGGAGTCTTAGTTGGTGTCATCCTTGTAGATTCCTGGGGATTTCTCTAGCACCAGGTTTTTCCCTAACCCCCTGATGGTTCCCTCTACCAAGATATCTGTTTCATTGCTCTACCTCTCTGTCCCTCCCCCTTTTTGGAACACATTCCCTAGGGAATACCTTGCTTAGCCTTGACACAGGGGAGAGTCCTGACTCAACTTAGTATGCCAGACTTTGTTGACTCCCCAAGGGAGGCCTTACTCTCTCTGAGGAGTGGATGGAGGATGGGGTGAGGGAAGGTTGGTGGGTTGGGAGAAGGGGAGGGAGGGAGAACTGGGATTGGTATGTAAAATGAAAAAAAAACTATTTAAAAATAAATAAATAAACACCAATTTTTCAAAAGAAAAAAAAAGAGTACATACTGAAATTGCAGAGGACCCAAGCTCAGTTCCTAGCACCCATAGAGGAAGGCTCATAACCTCCTATTATTCTAGTTCCAGGGGATATGATGCTATCTTCTGGACTTCACAAATACTTGCATATATGTGTGCGCACACACATACACACACACACACACACACACACACACACACACACACACACACACACACACACATCCTGAACTGAAATTTTATTTTTTAATCTTAAAAATAATGAGAAATAATTAAATAGGCACTCATGAAACCAACAGGTTTCTGTTCAACAAAAGACTCCATTATTTAAGTAAAGAAGCAGCCTACAAGATGAAAAAATATCTTTACCAGCTAGACAGGGGATTGGTGTCTACAATACACAAGGAACTCAAACCACTAAACACAAACAAAACACCCCAATTAAACATTTGGGCATAGAATTAAACAGAGTTCTCAAAAGAAAGAATAAAAATCTCTGAGAAAAAAATATTAGTGGTCAACATCCTTACGCCATCAAGGACACATAAACTAAAATTACTGATATGTTATCTTACCCTAGTCAGAATGGCTAAGACCAAAGAAGCCAATGACAACAAATGCTGGTGTGGATATGGAGAAAGGGAAATACTTATTCACTGTTGATGGGATTACAAACTTGTGCAGCCACTGTGTAAGCTAGTGAAGTGACTTCTCTGAAAGCTAGAATAGACCTACCATATGATCCTGCCATACTGCTCCTGTGCACATTCTCAAAGGATTTGGTATCTTGTCACAAAGATAATGATTTATCATGTTCATTGCTGCTCTATTCACAATAGCAGGGAAATAGAAACAGCTTAGATGTCCATCACTGATGAATGGATAATGAAAATGTGGTGCCTATACTCAACAGACTATTATCTACCTATAATGAAAAATTATATTACTAAACTCACAGTTAAATGGGTGGAGTTGGTGGAGCTGGAAATAATCATATCTGAGTGCGATTAACTCAGATCCAGGAAGAAAAGTGCCACATGTTCTCTAACATATTTGAATGCTGGATTTGAATCTTCAGAGGTGCATGGTTACATTGGTGTACCCATAGATGGTTAAAAACTATTAACGGTCATGGGGGATGATCTCAATGGACAAGGGACTAAAGAAACAGAAAGAGTTAAGTGGGGTGGAGTGGGAGATAAACAAAGAGAAGTGAGTATAAGGGGTAACACTGAAGACCTCTGAAAATCTCCTATGAATTCCTATGAATTATATATACATATACATATATATGGGGTTTAACATAGAATTATTCCATAACAGAGGGATAATGCCTCCCCAGACACCATAGGCTATCAAATAAAAGGCTCAGTGCCAAGTATGGATTACTTCTTTTTGAGTTGTTGGCCAATGATATTCCCAAAGATGTTCAAACATTACAGGCTATTGTCAATGCTCGATTACCCTCCATGACTCGAAAATAAGACCCTATTCCTGAAGGTACCACAAACTTGAGTCATAGGACATGGAGAAAACATGTTGGTATCAAGCTGGAAACTTCATCCCTGCCAGGCAGCTTACATAAGGCTGGAAGTTGCTGTACACACTACCAATAAAGAAAAACGATCAACTGTCTTATCAAACTGTGGACCCCATTAACTGACTTGGCAAGATATGCCCACTGGTACGACAGTGGTATGGATGTTATGGGAATAACCCACCACTTTCTGACTTAGTTTGTAACTTGCCTGCTCCACAAGACAGAATTCATGTCTGGTACTGTTAACTGGGCCAAAAAGAAAAAGAAAAATTGTGACTGACTAGGTTACTGGTCTTAAGGGAGAACCCAATACCATTATTCTGCTAAATGGACATAGTAATGAACTGCCTCTCTCAACGCTCATCAAAGATACTTTTTATAGCCAAAGGCAGCTAATATAGACTCACACAACTGTCCAATGTGCAGAGAATAAGAGATGATGAAGTACTCAGATCAGAATGGGACAGCTATATCACATCCCTGCTTCCAAGGCGCAGGGACCATGGAAGAGAGCATGGAAAGATGTTAAGAACCAGGGGTGGTTGATAACGACAATGAAGCTGTTTTCCAGACACCAGGCAGATGTATATTGAGTTCATAGTGATTGTGACTGCACCACTAAGACATGCAAAGGACCAAGCCAGCAAAAACCCCATCATGAACGGCAAAGGAGTCCAGGAAGTTCCTTCCCTATCTGGGGAGCTATTGGTTGTTGGTGTCTACTGGAGGATGGATAATCAGTTTTCTTATGGCTATAGCCTCTGAGATGCTGTCCATTCTCCAATGTATGGTCCTAGACCTATACACATATAAACAACACTAAGTTAATTCAATGGCTTTAAAAGTAATGAGCACATGAAATAGGGAGGGAAAGGTGATGGTAGGAATGAGGAGGAACTGAAAAGGAAAGGTGGATTTGATCAAAATGCTTTCTATGCATTATGAAATTAACAAAAATTGAAAAACAGTAGTAACTGTTAAGGGGTGAGAAAGAAAGGTCTTTCAAATAAAAGACGACTTTAGGAAACACATTGATACAACTGGTTTAAGGGAGATTCATGCAAAGCCCTAGCTATGATGAGATTGGGAAAGGACATATGATGGAAGATGGAAGGCAAGTGGGAGAGCCCATGTGAGTTTCACAGCATCTGCAGCAACACAGGGAACAGGCAAGGGCAAGAGGTACTCAGGAGAGCAGTGCATGACTAGGGTATAAAGTACATATGCATCTTAGCTGGGGTGGTAGGCTATGGTTAGAACAAATGAATCCAATATTACTCCCCAAATAATTTCATGGTTTAATTTTAATATTTAATATAGTTAAGATTTCCAACATTTTATGAAATTGGAATCACTCATGCATAGAGTGAAACATTTCCATGACATCACCTTCCTTCTGTGACTACAGTGATGGAAAGACCATGTGTGCAGTCCCAGTGGTGAGAGAGTTCCACAGTGGCTATGGAAACTAGCAAGGAAGGACTGCAGGGCCCTGAGTAAAGGCAATCAGATCTATGCGCCAGCCCTAGCTCTGTCCATTGCTAGCTAGGTAACCCTGACTTAGCCTCAGCCTCAGGATCCCTCTAGGTAAGCTTGAACAATACCCAGTGTATAGAGTTCCATGTAGGTATCAAAGGTAATGTGTAGCTCCATGCCTTTGTACACAGTAAGCACTCAATAAATGCTAAGCATTTTAGTAGTATGTAATATAGTCAATGAAACCCAATCACAGATTCTATCAGAAACATTACTTTAATACAACTTTTAAATTTTGTAATATAATTTTTCATTGTTTCTGGTGTATGAAGCATAAATACTTCAGGGATTGTATTTGCCTGCCCCCTAGTGGTAGGATGTGTCCTATTCAGCATAGGGTGGGAGAATCTAAATGGCTCATTTAATGATTAGAAATGGAAAGCCTGGCTTCTCACCATGTCTTCTCACAAGACTTTCAGAACCAAGCGATTCCTGGCCAAGAAACAAAAGTCAAATCGTCCTATTCCTCAGTGTATTCGTATGAAAACTGGTAACAAAATAAGGTACAACTCCAAGAGAAGACACTGGAGGAGAACAAAGCTGGGTCTGTAAGGATTCACACAATGGCAAGACAGAGTTTATATGGAATTGTGGGTCATGAAGCAATCCTACCACACGGAGTTCAACATTTTAACCTGAAGGCTTAGTCATGTTTTAAGTTGGTGGAGTAGTCTGTCCAGTAATAAAATGTAGAACCTCCCCCCAAAAAAAGGAAGAAAGGAAGGAAGGAAGGAAGGAAGGAAGGAAGGAAGGAAAAAAGAAAGAAAGAAAGAAAGAAAGAAGAAAGAAAGAAAGAAAGAAAGAAAGAAAGAAAGAAAGAAAGAAGGAAGGAAGGAAGGAAGGAAGGAAGGAAGGAAGGAAGGAAGGAAGGAAAGAAAAAAGAAAAAAGAAAGAAAGGAAAAATGGAAAGCCTGGAGAGATAAAGTGAAGGTCATAGCATCTAAAGGGCAGGCCTGGAGCCCCTGTCTCAGAATCCTCCCTTCTTCATGTTTTTCCCCCAAATAGCACAAGGATATATGGAGAATAAAATTGAAACATAATCTTTACTGGATAGAAAATCGTGTCTTCTTGCATTTCACCTCTTTTCAACAGTGAGGCCATTATCTCTTTGCCATGGAGAGCTGTAAATGACCAGAGCTTCCTAGTGCTTGGCAGAGCCAGGAAAATACTGATGCTGAGATGCAAAGGTAAGCCTGTGTTCAGAGGGAGCTAAACTCTACTAGCAGAGAGCCAAGTTGACACTTACTGATGGGGGCTAGAGACGAGGCTCAGTGGTTAAGAACACTTCCTGCTCTTCCATAAGACCCAAGTCTGAATCCCAGCACCCACATCAGGCGGCTCGCAACTGCCTGGAATATAACTCAACCTCCAGCCTTCAGGGGCACACATGTACTATACAGTCAACACAGATACACAAACATGCATAGAAATAAATAAATATTTTTAGAGAGAAAGGAAGGAAGGAAGGAAGGAAGGAGAGACAGAAGGAAGCCCTGATTCAAGTGTCAAATGCACACACGCATGCACACAGGCACACACACACACACACACACACACACACACACACACACGCACACACGCACACAGGGCACTGGGGATGGACTACAGAAAGGTGAGCTAATTTGAACACACTAGGTTCCTTACTTTCTCAGAGGTCTTTAATCTCCAGAGATTAGAGTTTATCAGTAAAAACCTGATTAGAAAATGTGTTATTTGTAAGAAAATTATGATAATAAAACTGGACTTAAGTAACTAATGGCAAAATTTTAAGGAACAGGAGAGTTTTGTACACTGCTACTATACTTTGGGTGTTGAATGTTAGCACAAAGGCTCATGTGTTGAAGACCTGGTACCCAGGGTAGTGCTGTTGGGAGTATGAAGTCAAGAGGCAGAGCCTAGTGGGAGGGTTTACATCACTGGGGACATGTCTTAGAAGGAGACAGCAGGCCATGGGCAGAAGCAGCAAGGGGAGGGGAGTAAAGAAGGAAGAGAAATGCTGGTCAAAGCCGTCATGACTCACCACAGTGTGGTGATTACAGTAAATACTACTCATTTGTTTAGAAAAATTTTAATGTGTTAACCAGAAAACAGTAGGTCTTGGAGATGAATTTATTAATGAACCTGATTTAACCATGCTGCATTGGACATGGGCAGCAAAGCATTACATTGCACTATGTGTATATATACAAGTATAATCTCAAAAAAATAAAAATAGTAATAATAAACATATAATGGTTAAAAATAGTTTGGAAAAACTAAAGCAGCTAGCACACATTCTGTATCATTTACCATGGGTTGTTCAACCAAAACTTCAGTCACTGTTCAAAACCACTGCCTGAGCTATATTCTAATGACTTTTTTAAAGGAAGAGAAATCTTTGTTAGGCTGCTCCTCATGCTAGAAACAGATCATGTAAATAACTCCAGGTAAAGGAAACCAGTCAGCTCTAATGCTGCTGGGGGTAGCACACTGGTAGCAAATGGATCAAAAGCTATTATAGGATGGACCCTTCCATGGATGTCGGCTAAACCTCTGACTGAGGGAACTCTTGGTGCATTAGTTTACTTTAGGGACATTACCACTAGCTTTTCTTCCTAGGTGAATTACTGTGATTTCCATGAAGCTTTAGGTTCATGGCCCTTTCTAAAGCAGCAATGATGATGTGGCCATAAGATTTTGTAACTTCCTCCAGGCTAGAGAGATAGCTCAGCAGTTAAGAGCACTAGCTACTCTTACAGAGGACCAAGGTTTGATTCCCAGCATAGACCATCTGTAACTCCAGTCTCAGGGACTCTCATGCCCTCTTCTGGCCTCCTCGGGCATTGCATGCACATGATGCACAAACACATACATGCAGGCAAAACACCCAGACATATAACCTTTTTAAAAGATCCTGTAATTATTTAAAATATCTTAATAATAGTCAGACATTTCTTTCTATCCCATTTTCCATCTATTTCTTATCTCAAGATAACAGAGTGACTATGGGCACTTGGGGGACCTGGCTAATGAAGATTTGCTCTTTTTGAAATGTCAGACAGCTTTGTAGTGAAATCTGCATACTGTTAGCTTTCTTTGTACAGAAATGACTTCCAGGAACTGCCTCTCCTCCAAGCTGCTCTACCCACAATATCATCTGGTAAAAAGATGAGGGCAGATGCAAATGAAAAAGGAATGTGGTACCCAGCTTTAGAAGAGTTTAACTATAGGAGAAAACAAAGACTCAACATGAACAAAACCATAAGCAAGACAATGGGGAAATTCTCACAGCCTCCCAGTGAAGTAAAAGCAAGTGCAGAGATACTTTCCCGATATTGTAGCACTTAGACATTTGCAGGGCATAACCCAAGTGTGTGAAACTGAAAGAAACATATCAAGCATCAATATTTTGTTCAGCCATGCTAAAAGGAAAAGCTAAATTACCTGTTGTCTCTTGTAATGTGCTGCATCACCAGAGCTGGAAAAAGGAATGATGAAAGGGTTTGAAGCCAAAGTATGGGGACAACTACCCTACAGACGTGTCAGAATGTTCTCCCTGGCTTTAATGCTGGCACAGTTCCACAGCATTTTTAAATGTGTAATTTATTGAGGTTTGAGGCCTTACCCTCTATGAGGAGGAGATGGGGGTGGGGTGGGGGAAGCAAGAGAAGATGAGGGATAGGAGACAGGGGTTGGTATGTAAAGTGAAAATTTTTTTAAATAAAAAATTATAAAATAAAAAAAGAAATATATCTTCCTAAGTTTATATTCTCTTTTTAAGAAGCCAATGAATTTCTGCAAGCATCAGGCTCTGTCAGTCTGCTTCTGCCTGTCTGCTTTCCTACTGGAGGTCTTCAAGGCAAGTAGATGCTTCACTCCACTTTGTACACTCTTCCCTTCTCTCCCTTGGCACGACATTCCCACAGAAATGTAGAGTCCTCATTAAATCTCATGAAGGTATCTGCTTAGACATCACTGCAACTCAGGAATCCTTCCAAGAAAATTCCTGTGTAGACTGGAATCTCGTACTCCACAGCACTAACCCGACATTGTGTGGGTCTCCCTGACCACAGTCTATGCTGCATTAGGACACTTCGGTTTGTCTGCATCATTGAGAGCAAGGTCTGGCACATAGTGGGTCTTCAATACTCATAGGTTAAATTAAAAAAAAAAATCCCCTGTAATGGACGTTTTGCTTTGCCTGGTTTCACTACCCATGGTCAACAATGATCCTAAAGCATTAAATGGAAATTTCAAGAAATGAACAATGCCCGGGTTTTAAATTGTTCCCAGGGGCATGATGAAATCTCCCAAGGCCCTGCCCCATCTATCCAGTCTATGAATCATCCCTTTGATATACAGAACACATATGTGCTCATCCATACTATATGGAGTAAGCCATCTTCGTCATGAGGCCAGCTGCCTGAGTAGCATAGTGCCCAGCCCATAAACAGGGCTAAGGGCTCTTAATTATTTCAGACTTCCACTTAGATGTCCAGAGAAAGAATATCGTGTGCCCTACACATATGTAAATACATACCCATATGGAGATGTTTATATATCTAGCTTGTCGTTTGTGCCCAAATGCACTGTAGGGTTAATGATCTGCCTAAGAGGGATTGTCCAGATTTGAGGGGAAGGGAATTCTAATAAGGTTTTTGTTTGTTTGTTTTAAACTTGGGCAATGTTTTAAAGCCAAGATCCACTGTTCTTACAAATATTGCCTCTCCCACAAAGAAAATCAGAAAGAAAAAAAAAATGACTGCAGCCACATCCCACCCACAAAGTACGTGTGCTCATTAGCTGGGAGGGCATTGTGATTCCTGAGACAGCAGCCTCCATCCAATCAAGCAGCTCTCCTGACCATACCACCCAGCCCCGCATGGCTAAAGCAGAACCCCTGAAACTCAGTGCTCACAGCTAGAGGAAGCTGTCGCTGCGTTCCAGATACTGATCATGTAAGTGTTCCCGTTAATCCTTTGGCCAGTGTCCTGTAGGAATCAGCGCTGGGGTGCCTGGGCTTCTAACATGGATGAATTGACCAAACCTGACTTAAAAGTTGCAGGCCCTTGAAAGAGGCAGCGAAGGAGGGAGAGCCCTGAATCTCCTTCCTGTGTTCACACTGCCACCTACTGTTCAAAACGCAGAAAGAAAAAATGGAGGCATTCCCAAAGAAAGGACCTAGAAATGAATTCTATCAGTCCTCTTTCAACAGCTGAATGTTTTACAAACTGGTTTTTTTCTTTCAAAACTGCGATCACCATCCATGACTTCTCAACACTGAATTCACCACCCTCCAGCAACAAGCGGTTCAGGTAGAGAGGTACTACTACTCATTTAATTTAGTTTTACAAGAAAAGTAAGGCACATAGAGGGAAACTAAGTCAGAGAGAGCCTCTAAGTCTCACACGGGGCAACTCAAGACTCCAGTCTTAGTTCCCAGCTTGACGTCATTCTGCATGTGATTTTCCATGAAAAGGTGTGTGGGACACTCAAGGATTTGCGGGACAGAGAGTGTTCCTCGTGGGGGAAAATAATAAAATTGTGGCAAGTCTACTTTGTCTGGTTGCTAG